AAAATCTGTTGTTTAATGTAGCCACCTTCATCCGCTATCTTATATGGATCTGGATAACTTCCTGCAGTTTCTCCACCAGCACTTGCTGCTTCACCTTGCACTTTTATAGAGATGATTTCTTCTTCTAAATCTCATGAACCAACTTTTATGGTTTCAAACTTTTCTTCTGCAATTTGCTCACTTCTCTCAGTCTTCACAAAATTGAAGGGAGTTAGAGCCTTGTTCTGGATTAAGCTTTGGCTTAAGGGAATGTTGTGGCTGGTTTGATCTTACATCCAGACCACTCAAACTTTTTTCATATCAGCAAGAGGCTTAGCTTCTGACCCATCTTGGCTTTCAATATGCTTTCCTCACCAAGCTTATTCATTTTTAGCTTTTTATTTAAAGTGAGAGAGCCCGGGCACGGTGGCTCACACCTGTAATCCTAGCACTCTGGGAGGCCGAGGTAGGAGGATTGCTCAGTCAGAAGTTCGAAACTAGCCTGAGCAAAAGCGAGACCCCGTCTCTACTATAAATAGAAAAATTATCGGCCAACTATATATATAGAAAAGTTAGCTTGGCATGGTGGTGCATGCCTGTAGTCCCAGCTACCTGGGGAGCTGAGGCAGAAGGATTGCTTGAGCCCAGGAGTTTGAGGTTGCTGTGAGGTAGCTGGCGCCACGGACTCACTCTAGCCTGGAAACAAGCGAGACTGTCTCAAAAAAATAAAATAAATAAATAAAAATAAATAAAAAATAAAGTGAGAGAAATGTGACTCTTCTTTTGCTTGAACACTTACAGGCCATTGTAGGGTTATTAATTGTCCCAATTTCAATGCCGTTGTGTCTCAGGGTATATGGAGGCTCAAGGAGATGGAGAGAGACAAGGCAACAGCCAGTTGGTGGAGTAGTCAAAACACACACTACATTTATTGATTCAGTTCACCATCTTATGTGGGAGCAGTTTGTGACACCCCCAAACATTACATACAACATAAAGATCACTGGTCACAGATCACTGTACAGATATGATAATATTAAAAAGTCTAAAAACATTGCAAGAATTACCAAAATGCGACACAGAGACAAAAGTGAGCACATGCTATCAGAAAAATGTGTGGTAGACTTTCGTGATGCATAGTTGCCACAACCCTTCAATTTGTTAAAAAACGCAATATCTGCAAAGCACAATAAAGCAACACTCAATAAACAAGGTATGTCTGTAGCATCATGGAGTTTCTATTACTCTGAAAGCTGTGACTCAGGAATACCTAATCTAGGCTTAAATGATGTCCAAAAAAGTACTCAGACCTACCCAAGTTGGTATTAACCAGCATCCAGATATACTGAAATGCTTTGACTGACCTAACTTTACCCAGGAAACAGGACTCAATATAACTTTCACTCTACTTCCTTTTACCTTCTATAGCATTCTCATTTGTTCCCTCAAATTTAGCTAATATCACTCCAATGGGATCACTGGTTGTTTGTATCTGAGGAAAGAACTAACACCTGAGTTATAAACTAGCTATGCTGTGTGTATCTCTCTCTCTCTCTCTCTCTCTCTCTCTCTCTCTCCTCTCTCTTCTCCCTCTCTCTCCCTCTCCTCTACACACACACAGACACACACAGAGCACCTATTGAGTTGCTATAAGAAATTCCAAGAGTACAGTCATATCTAAACTTATGATATATAGTTCACCCAGTTGTTCAGTGAACCAAATCTCAGCAAACTCAACATGTCTTCAACTCAGGCAGATTTGATATTCTTGGCTACACAACCACAGCATCTACCTGCTTTCAGTTTTGATCCTAGAAATATTTCTGTGTCAGCTATCACTAGTTTCAAGATGAGAACTCACATAAGTTAGTGGTGAGTGAATTAGTTTAAAAACAAACAAACAATACTTATGTACATAGTACCAGTTCTGTGTTGGTTGCTTGAATCCAAGAAATCACTGTGGGTCCATGTTTTACCTTCAAATTTAAAACAAAAGCAGATAGTGTAGGTTGCTTTGTAGGTCATGCTTTCCATGAATTGTTCTAGTTGCAAGTAGAAAGACAAAGCCTTTTTTTCCTACAACCCTCCACAGCTAGATTTGTTGATTCCTATTAAAGTTCTCCAATTGTTACAAAAAGAAAAACATTAGTATGATAATTAGTCATAAATTGAGGGTGATATTATCTCAGAAGGTTCAGATGAAGGGAGTATGGAGGACACTCCAGGGAATTTGAGTGAACTACTTGGTCATCACTCTTGGTTACATTTGGGGATTGTACAACTAAGAAAAACATGTTAGTGAAAAGTAAGGACAATGTGGTACCTTTGCTACTTAGATTTCCCTGACATAGTCTAGAATGTCATTCATTCTTACATGGATTTTGGTTTTGATGGATCAGATTATGCTCCCTGTGAATACTGAAACTTGAGGAAATAGTAAAACCTGTTCCTCAACGTCCATATTAAGGAAAGAGACTACATTATTTAAATATTGCCATAATTGTAATACCATTTTATAATTATTATCTATTATTAATTATCTATTTTATTATTATTATTATCTATTTTATAATTATTATCTATTGTCTATTACCATAGCACTTTCATGCATACAGTACACTGTTAATTTTAATAGTCATTATGAACTTGTAAGGTGAGCAGAACAAAGACTATTCTCCCATTTAAAATATCAACATCTGAGAGTCAGAGACATGAAGTAGCTTACTCAAGATGACACAAATAACTTGTGTGGTGCTAGCATGAATACCAGGTCTGGCCCTTTTCTATTCTATACACACTTACCTACAATTCCCAGATATCCTAGGAGGTGGTAGAAGAAATCTTTGTTCAGTAATGTAATGTTCAGTAATGTGATGTATTCTGATTATGTACTTTTTTTTGGCAATAAGGACACATGACTAGTTTTAAAACCATATTCACTGACTGATTAAAAATCGCCTTCTGAAGGCCCAGGCCGGTCCCACACTTTCCAGTGTTTCTTATGCTAATGTGAAATGTTGGGGGTAGCAAAGCAGGGAGGATGGAGAAGGACATTCATTAAATGAAGAAACAGCACATATTGATTTTTCTTTCCATCGTAGAGACAGGTAATACAATTTCATTGCCTATTCAATATGAAAATGGGACTTAATGGAGTTATGGTTTATGATTTGGCTGTTGTGTCAGGCTTCCTTGCCAGCCATCTCCTCTTCATCTTAGACTCCACTCCAGAACCAGACAGCGAGATCTGCCCTCAGTCCTGCAAAACATGAGACAGAGTATATGAAAGAAAATAACGAGCGAGGGACCACTCTTCACAAGTTATCCAGCTGCAATAATTGTCCTGGAAAACACTGGAGATACTTGCAGGAAGAGGCTGTCCCTCAGTAGCACAACAGAAAAGCACACACGGCCTCCAAAGGTACAGCTAACAGTCCACAGGTCATGGCAAATTGAGAATTTATTGGTTGTGGCAGAGTTTCTTCCAGGCAAGATGTGGTCTCACAGAGCAGATTTTAGATTTGTGGTTCACATTTTGACTTATTTTCTTAAAATCAGTTGTGAATGTTGTTGGGGGACAGTTTTCTGAAGGTCTCAATCTTTTTCTGAGTATCTTGCAAGCAGACTCACTGACTGCTTTTGTTACAAACTATCTTTGCAAGGATGTTTGCATAGTAAACAGTCATGGAGGATGTTTGTGTAGTGAACAGTCATGGAAGATAGAGTTTCCCTCTCAAGCAATGGGCCAGCCCATTTGTTGTCCTGTATGAAACTTTCAGGTTCCCTAAGTGCAGGATTTCTATCCTGTAACATAACTTACTGCATGTGGAGATTATCACCTGGTCACCCAGGAAAAATGAAGTTTTAAGGCACCAAATATGCTGGTACTCAAGCTCCTTCTCCTTGTAATAAAGTCCTTTGTCTCTGACCTAGGTAGGTCTCCTTGATCCTATGACCTGTCCTTTAAATGACCTGGTAAAAATAACAGTGTACAAGAGCTATCATCATTCCTACATCATTTTTTCTAGGTTAGTTTACTACATTACAGATCTGCGATGTTAGCTACATTTCCCTGCTAGAGATTCCTACTGGCTTTTACTGCCCATCTTTTCCTGTTGTCAACTTGTTAAGCTGGTCATCAGTATCCTCAAGCTAAAGAAAGAGAAAATTAATGAAAAAGTATTTACATATCATTTGGGTTCAACATTGAAAAAGGCTAAGAAATTATCCAATAATCTATATAGTTGCCCGTGCAGACAAATTAGCTTAGAATAAATTTCATATATAAATTACTCTGACAGAATCACTATCCCTATAAAGTCCCCTTACACATGTATTTCTGGGAGTCCCCATAAGGTATTTCCTATGTACTCCACTCCTTTGGTGCCTACTGTGCTCTGCCAGTTGTTAACTTAGGGTTCTGCCCCCCCCCCAACCATTTAGCTCAGGCATCCTCAAACTCCGGCCTGCGGGCCACATGCAGGTGTTTTTGCCCGTTTTGTTTTTTTACTTCAAAATAAGATACGTGCTGTGTGCATAGGAATTTGTTCATAGTTTTGTTGTTTTTTTTTTAAACTATAGTCTGGCCCTCCAACGGTCTGAGGTACAGTGAACTGGCCCCCTGTTTAAAAAGTTTGAAGACCCCTGATTTAGCTCATCCAGCTCTCTTAACGTAGAGCAGTCGTCCTTCCCTGGTGGTGGCCTCCATCCCATTAGACCCAACAAGCTCCACTGATATCCACAGTTCAAGTGCCGGATGGATCTTCCTCCACTGCGGTACACTCCGTGCCACCTAATCATTGCTTGGACAACAAATATGTTTTTAGACAAAACCAGAACCAGATTTAACCGTGGGCCACCATGGAGGATTTCTCCTTCCCCTCTTCAGTGGTCCATGGGTCAAGCTCAGGAGGAAAGATTTCTTCCCTCAGGATTCGTTCTTTCTCAGATTTCACGCACCTGCTTCAGAAAGACTTTTGTGGGACCAATACCCCAGTCAACCAAGCATGCCTGAACCCCCCCTCCCCCGCAGTGGATATACTGGAGAACCCTTGCCCCAGGTGTCTGTGGAGCTCATTTCCTCACCTCCTTCAAGTTTGGTTCAAAAATCCCCCTGTCAGGGAAGCCTTTCCAGAGGACCCACTTAAGAGAGTGAACCCCCACTCCTGCCCCAAGCTCCTATCCCTTTCTTTGCCTTATTTCACTGTGAGGCACTTATTACCTCCCAATGCATTTAAAAATGTACCTCTTTTATTTATTATTATCTTTTCCAGCCAAAATATAAATTCCAAGAGGGCTCAGGTTTTTATCTCTTCTGCCTCACTGATGTGCTCAGAATGAGGCCCAGCACCCAGTTGGTGCTCAGTAAATATTTGAAGAATAAATAACTGAATCCCACACTCAGGCTACATGTGTGATGTGCTCTTCTCCATCAACTCCCTGGCCACATGCCCATCAAATCTGACATCCAGTAAACATATTTTGGCTGAAAAGAGAATTGTGAATTGTGATGCAAATAAGATAGACCCCACTTGAAGGACCAAATAGTTGGACAAATAATGACAATCCATTTTCTCATTGTGGTTGCTTCTCACCTTTGAAACAAGAACAGAAAATACAAATAAATTTAGCCTGGCCTTTCCATTCTCTGTAATGACTAGTCATTTTTAAATCCCTGTAGTTCTTATATTCAGTAATATAATTCTCTCCTCAATCCCTTTCTTTTTCTGTTGTCACTTAAAATTCCTTCAGAAATGAATTATAACTATTGAAACTTCTATGTGATTCAGAAAATACAGGTAAATGTCATAATGAACTAGGTCAGAGTTTGCATGTGTGTTAACTATGGGGAAAATAGCAAAAATTAATCCGTTTATTATGTGGGAGTAACAGGTCAAAATGAAAAAGAAGAAACAGAAAGTCTTTACTTGGGGTTCACAAATCTATGAGGCAATATTAAAGACAGGTAGATTGCTATAAATTGTCAGGAAAGTACTTAGAATATGTCAAACTTCTTTAAAATATTCATATATTAGAACAAATTTATTATATTTTTAAATATGCATACAGAAGGATGTTATGACAATGTTATTCATAATGAATAAAAATTACAAACAATTTAAGTATCCAACAATAGGGGAGTATTTAAATTGGTTACATGCTTATTATTCTATATAATAGAAAATTATTTAGTCACTTAAAATTGTGTATTTGAAGACCACTTAAAGAAACCATTTTCACAACATAGCACTGAAACTAAAAGCTAGATACACATTATGAGCCATACTTATCAAACAATAAATACATAATATGTTCACAGAAAAAAAATGAAATGAAATTTGCAAGTATGTTCATGGTAATTACTTCTGATTATAAAATTAGAAGTCATTTTATGGATAACTCCTAATATATCAAAATATTCAGCTAGCAATGGCCACCATGTTCTTAACTGATGTTGATAGCTAGACAAGACACTTTGCAAAAAAAAAAGAAGATTTTTAAATAGTTAAATATATTTAGATGGTAATGTAAAATAAATTGAATATAGTCATAATAACAGCTGGCATTTAATGAACTCCAATTTGAGCCAGGTACTACACTAAATACTTTGATCCCTCTAGGAACTAGGTGTCATTATATTATAGATGAGGAAACTGAGGTTTTTAAGATATGAAGATAGGTGGTATCCTAGTACCACATGGGCAATTAGGGGCAGTATGAGATTTGATCCAGAATTTTCTGCCTCCAGAGTTTCTGCTCTTAAACATTTTGCTCCATTAAAACAGCTGACAATGACCCATTATGAGTGAGTTTATAATTTACTTTTGATCAAGACAATGGATTATTTATTACCATCAGGCTTTCTGATGGTAATCACTGTTCAGATGATTATAATCTTTTAAGTCTTTATCAAATATCTGCTGCCTCTCTCTAAGGTAAGTATTATTTCAGTATTTTATAGCTGATAAAACATGTAACTCACTTTGGCTTAGATGCTGATGAAAAATGGGTTTATTTAACTTTTTAATCAATTGTAATTAAACCATACTTATAATGCCCTTTTAAAAATATTTTTATAGATGGCTCTTTTGAAAACTAAAACTAGCACAGGTTTCATATGAAACCTGAAGATTTTCTGATAAATAAAGAAAATATTTAAACTGTGGCAAAGGTAAATAGATCTAAAAAAAAAAAAAAAACTGATAGCTTCATAGACCCTGCCTCTAAATGAAATGTTGGGAGACTCTCTTGCCAATTCTCCCAAACGTCCAGGTAGAACACTGAATACACTGATTACTTTAACTAAAACAATCTGGTTTTGCACAAACCCACTTCAGGTCCAACCAAGTGTGAAGCTCATTGAACTGCCATACAAAGAGAAGACAGTTTTTACCTGTCTAAAAGACAGGTAAAGCAAACTGGGCCAAACACATGTGAGTTTATAATCTAAGATATTTAGTTTCACATTACCTAGAAGAAACTTCTAGATCAAAAGAGTTCCTATAGAAAACTTCAAAATATGCAATATAAAGAGAAGAAACGTTTTACAAATGGTAAGTAATATAAAACAAAACAAAATTAAGAGTTTTAGCTCAATTTTTAGGAAGAAACATGTTCTAGAAAAAATTCACATTAAAGTGAATTGTAAATTTAAATCTTAAAGACAATGCTGCCGCTTTAGATGGTAAATATTTTAGTAATCCCACAATTGAAAACCATTTTAAAGAACAAGCCCAAGAGTTATTGAAATGTTTATACCAGTCTGCTTTAAGGAATCTATATGTTGGTGTATTGAATAATATGTTGTTGTATTCTTCAGAAACATTCCTTAAAAAAAACCTCATATGCTTTTTAATCTACCAGTTTGTTAAACAAATGGCATTCTTGACTTAAAAAATAAAGAATATTTCTAAAATAATGTCTTTTCCCCTGAGGAACCCCCCAGAAGGTAGCAGTCAGTAACACAATCGGATATCTAGGATGATTCCAGCTGCCTGCCAAAACATCGTTCATGACTATCAAAGTATGCTGAAAAACACCATTACATCCATAACAGAAAGCATGATTGTTCTTATTTCTGGAATTCCTTCTGATGTGAGTCACTTCACTGGGTGGGATTTCACTGGAAAATGGCTTTAAGAACATTTTAAATGAAGAATAGAACTAAGGCTTTCAAACCCAGACATAATGGAAAACCATAGTATCAAACTTCACTTGGCAGGCAATGACAGGGACAAAATTCAAAGTAAAACATGTAGATACATGTTTGTACTCTCATATTTTCTTGAAATAAATAAAAAAAAATGTAGATACAAAAAGTTCAATTTTCTGTGCAATTTGATATTTATGAAATTAACATTTCTTCTTAGCACAGCAGTCCAAATGAAAACATTTCACCTTCCATATACAAAAATAAAATTCTGTGACTTTGCGTTTCATTTCAAACCTAGCAATATCCGATTGGAGGAGGAGCTAGAACATGAGATTATTTTAAAGATTGTTTTTGTATTTTCCCAAAAGTTCTCCAAAGGCAGTTAGGAATTTGGATAATTTGAAAATGCACAAACAATCCACAACATAAAAAGACTTTATGACCTTTTTTAATTCTTAAACTTATAGAAATTTAAACCCAAGTACAAGGGCTGGGTGGATCAGACATGAACTCTGTCTCCTCTAACTCCCTCTAGACTGGGACAAAAAGATCTAGTTCACGATTTTTGAGTACAGCCTACTGAATCAGTTCTGTTGACTTTTCATTATTTTATATGTTTATATTGTCTTTCAAACTAAGTACAATTGGGAGGTGTACTTTATCTGTTTTATTATTCCCTCAAAGGACATAGAATAGAGTTTCATCCACAGTGAGCATTCTCTATTTATTGTTTATTCCAGATTGGTCCAAAATGTTTTTTTTTAACTCAAGAATCTAGAATACTGTTAAAAAAAAAAAAAAACCACTGGTTTAGTAATATATAATTCTAATAAAAAGAAAATCTCTGCTTCTCCTTTCAGTCAATGCAGGGTCATAAATTGAGCCTTACACTTTCATAAAGTCTATTTTAAATATGTGTTGAATAAATGAATTGTCCAAGTGAATGAATGAGTAAATACTTGTGACCAAACTGAACAAAATGCTTATTATAGTTGTGATATTTGTTCTAGTGGACTTATATGGGATATGAAAATCTAAATGTAATTGGACTTGGAGAAATTAACAAGTAAAAAGTATCAACCAAGACTGAAAGCTAACATCTGAATTTTTTAAGTTATTTTACAAAGTAAAAATTGTACTCATGGAACTCTTTCTTATCTGTGGTGACGAAAAGGTTCCAGGATATATGTATGTTTCTGACTACCCTAAATCCACGCCTCCCTCTTTTAGTAACGACAGCTCAATTTCCTATCTTTTGGAAACAACTCCTTCTTTATGCATCAGTCGTGGCAATCTGTTTATCAAAATGCTCCACTTGCTCCCTATCCACCCACCTCTTGCCCTGCCAAGGTATAGGTATATTCCCCAGGCAAGATGAGTCAGATCCTCTGGCCCTGGAATATGAAGCAGTTCTGGGATGACAAAATACAGGAGCAATGACTTGAGCTGCTCCATCTACCCACGGGACTTATAAGCAGCCTCCACATTGGGTTCTTCAGCATGATTTCCTGAAGCTCTGCTGTCCCAGAGATTTCTGAGCCCTGGTTGTTGGGCCTCTTCTTGTCTTGTTTGAGCTACATTATATCTTTCCAATAAAATCCTTACTTTCCTTATGCATGTATTTGTTTTTGTTTATTTGTATGTAAGTTAGCCAGAATCCATTTCCGAAACCTAACAGAAAGAGACACAGGTACCCTGAGCACTGATAACACAGACAGAAATCCACCTGAGGAAACTTAGAGCAAGAAGGTCATATTCGTGTGCCATACTGAAATAGATCATAAAGTCTCAGCTTGGCTACTAGGATTTCTCTTAATGTTATTAGGTCTTTTGAAAACAATGCTTATAGCATCCTACAACCCTGCTGTATGCAAAGTGAAGATCATTAGACTAGGTCAGGAGAATAACTGCAGTTTGGGGCAAGTTACATAAACTTCTTAAATCTCCACATACTCATCTATGAATGGATGAGGTTAAAGTAAAAAATCTATAAAGCCTCCTCCCATTGTGACAACTAAGGAATTTTTAAGTTTGCAAATATAGAATCATACACAAACTGTTGCTTTTCCCCACCTAGTGCTAAGGAGATTCTGAAAAAATGTCCTTGCTGCCTCACATCAAGGCAGTATTTAAATTTAATCCTAGACCCACCCAGCGTTAGCCTGTGGTGTGGTGTGACTTTCCTCCATAGCTTTGTAGAATCTCTTTTTTGTGATGGAAATCAGTGCCACTTTCTGTACTCACATTTTCCCTTTTCCGTCCTCCTTCTATGGCTAGAAAAAAATGAGTTATAATTAGAATCAAGAAAATACTGAAAGGATAAATACAATGTATCCTGTTTTTATAAAAGGTCATTCTTTCAAGCTATGAAAGCCCTTTACAACAAATACCTAATTGATGGTCACAGCCTTCTCTGTAGGAATAAAATACTACGCCCGGTTTACAGATGAAGAAATCAAAGAGAGAGTCAACAGAATGTCACTTGACCATTTCAAATCTGGGAACAAGAAATTCAGAGCTCATCCATTTTAGAACATTATGTGTCAGAGTGCCAGATTAGCTCAGTTAGTTGTACATTATTTTAATGTTGACCTAGAAATATGCGTAATCCATTTATAATGAAAACAAAGAGAAAGGCATACTCAAAAAGCAGAGAGTCAATCCTAAAACAAATAGCTCTTCCAGAGGTTTTCGGAAGTTCTTTAGCAACTAGTTGATGACTCTGTGAAACTCCCATGTAAGTGTGACAAGCCTAATTTGCTGTACAATTACAGAAAACAGGAAGAGATTCTACACTGAAGACCAAGGTATACATATTAACAAACCAACACGGATAGTCATGATCCTAACAGCAACTGCATGCCACTCATTTCAACCAGAAACCTATCTCCCTGCAGCACCACCACCATCTTTTCCTAAACTGTGTCCTTAGCCAGACAGCCCAGGACGAGAGAAGAAACTTAAGTGCCTCACTCATTAGATAATGCCTATTTCGTATTCCATCAATCACTCTTTTATTGACTCAAAAATTAATTATTGAGTGCCTTCCATGTGCCAGGTACTGTGCTTGGTACTCCATTATATCATTCATGCATGAATCTCCAGAACTCATTCTCTGGCGTGGAAGACCCAAGGAGCCCAGGAGAATGTCTACCAGTAAAGGAACTGGAAGCCTTTTCCTGTCTTGTTCCATGCTACACCTTCATGTATTTTCCTTTTAATTATTTGGTGGGATGAGTGGTTTCCTCAGGGGGACTGATGAGAGACTCAGACTGAATCAGAACCCACATTTTTGTAAGATCCTTCGGTGATCCATAAGCATTTAAAATTTTAAGAGCCCACGTAAAATAAACTTTAAGACATCGGACTTCCCACAGATACAGGGACCAATGGGTGTCAGACTTGCCATATTGGCAGTCAGACAAAGTCCTCTTCCTTCCACTATTAGGAGCCAATGATGTGAAGAGACAGGGCACCCTCCTCACTCCGCATTCCTCCAAGACAGAACAGAAGTGATGACTTAAAAACACAAGTTCCTTTGCTTGTTTGTTTTGTGCTTGTGAAAGGCAACAGGAACTTAGGGAGAGAGAGAAATTTAATCTCCACCTACACCCTTAATTTCTTTATCTCCTTTCCTCATCTATAAAAAGGGTATAATAACATCTGCTGTATGGGCTCTTGCTACACTCGAATGAGATAATACACATCAAAGTCCTTAGCAAACTATAAAGAATTATTTTTTAAAGTTAGTTCTTGTTACACAGAGAAAACCTATAAATCAGCAACCCTTTGGGTTTTAGAAATTCAGCTTATTGACTGCCATTGCCAGATCACGGAGAATTTTACAAATATTTTTATATTATCATGCTGGTCAAAAATGTGCAGCAGTGATGTCTGTCTGCAAATCAGATGAAAACATTTTAATATGTTAATACTTAACAGGCCAGTTTCTATGAGATAAAAATGAAGAGCTGAGAAGGAAAAGTTTGACGATTGGCTACTGGATTTTGAAGAACAAACACAGATGTATTTAGATTATATATCTATATATACACACACACATACATATGACACACATACATATCCTTACTTAACTTTGAAAATTCAAAACTAACCTCTATCTCACTCTGCCTGCCACTTGCCAAATGACGTAAAAGAGAAATGATTGTTCTGAAATATGCCCTCAATAAAACAGCCAGTTACCCTTTTTTTTAACTAGCAGGTAATGAGTTATTTTGTCTAGTTATACAGAGGCATAAATTTTCAGTTGTCATTTGTTTAAGCTGATTAAACAACATATAAATATTTCAAAGATTATGAAGCTTTTCCTTGGGACTCTCTTTTTATCTTTAAAAGAAAACAATGCTAATAGTTTCCTTTTTCCTATACTCAACGACTATTTACTACCCCATCTTGATGTGGGCTTTCAAAACACAAAGAAGGTTTGGCAAGTTTTCAACGTCCTTTTTAAAAGTCTGTTCTTAAGCACTTGTATAAAAGCATAAAGAGTACTTCTTTGGAGAATTGATAATGTCCTACGTTCAGTATTTGTATATTAAGGACTGTCAGTTACATTTAGTGTATTCATTCATTGGACTCTGTCGTCGTTAATCTGCATGCAACTGATTTCAGGGAAGCAAAGTGATCAGAAGAAGTCAAAGTTAACATAACAATTCCTTTTCTACAAAAAACAGCCCCCGACGTTATGGGTCCAAATTTCAAAGCAAGTTACTGTATTTGCAAGTTTTAAGTCACACTTGGCAGTTTTTCCAAACACAGTGGTTAGGAACTGAAAAAAATAAACATGTGTTTCCAGGATTTTCTTTGCACATGCCACACAAAAAGTAATCTTACAACTACGTTTTTCGCTCCCTTTAAAAAGTGCTTCTTAAGGAAGAAAGCTTTGCTGTTTGTGTTGTTTTAGGGTAGATTTTACAAAATAACAGTAAGGGCAAGATAAATATTACTTTCACTGTATAAATGAAAGTTTAAACTTTCCCCTAAGGAAGTCCTTGAAAAATCTGATTGACCAGTATGTGGTGATAGATTGTACTTTATATCTCGTCCTTAAATTCACAACTCTTTGCACCTTGCATCTTCCAGATGCCTTGAGCAAAAGTCTGATGTCAGTCCCATTTTGCTGAAAGAATAACTGAGGTAAAGTAGATTTATGATCTTCCAGGGCTTAACAAAGCCTTAGTAGCTGTAGGAGGATGAAAATTCACAGGTGTGGTTCTTATTTAAGATAGAGGAAGCAGTCAATCATAAAGTGGGGTTTCAGCAGTTTATAAAGGCCTCCAGACTCGGAAAATATCTCCATTATTAGTTGGCCAGGTGGCTTAAATCTCCACTCCAACCTTCCCCCCCCCCCAATCTAAAGCTTTGTCTTGAAAGAGCCTGACCTATTAAATTGTAAATATCATACCCTGGAGGAATAACAATAGCAGCCAACAACTCAATAGGAGGAATTTATTTCTCAGTTCCCTAACAAAGATCTAGACCTACAGAGAATAGGATCCAGGGCAGAAAGTGAGTTGGGTACAGAATAAAGGATGAAAAGCATTCAGTGTGGCATCTTTCTTAGGGACATTGGATGCCGGTAGACACCAGGGGCTGCCGTGGATGGTGGTATGATCCTGTCACCTGAATAAAGAGGGAGAAGTTGAAAGGATGACAAGACCAAGTAGACTTATCTAGGCAGGATGGGGTGGTAACAGGAATGTTTTCAGGGGAAAGGATGATTGGAAAGAGTTAAATAATGCAGGAAAAGAAAGACTTTCATTGATCGTGCTCCTTGGCATTTACTCAAGTGAGTTGAAAACTTATGTCCACACAAAATCCTGCACAAAGATGTTTATAGCAGCTTTATTCATAATTGCCAAAACTTGGAAGCAACCACGGTGTCCTTCAGTAGGTGAATGGATAAATAGATTGTGGCACAGCTGGACAATGGAATATTATTCAGTGCTAAAAAGAAATTAACTATCAAGCCATGAAAAGCCATGGAGGAACCTTAAATGCATATGACTAAGTGAAAGAAACCAATGAAAAGGCTACATCCTGTATAATCCCAACTATAGGACATTCTGAAAAAGGCAAACATCAGTATTTGGAGTCAGTAAAAAGATCAGCAGTTAGCAGAAGAAAAGGAGGAAGGCAGGATAAATAAGAGGAGCACAGAGGATTTTTTAGGGCAGTAAAACTCTTTTGTGTGATACTATAAAGGGACACATGTCATTATACAGTTTTCAAAGCCCACAGAATGTACAACAGCAAGAATAAACCCAAATACAAACTATGCAATTTGGGTGATAATGATGTGTCAATGTAGGTTCATTGATTATAACAAACGTATCACTCTGGTATGAGATGGTGATGGTGGGGAAAGTTGTCAGTGTGTGGAGCACGAGGAACTCTCTGTACTTTCCTTTCAATTTTGCTGTGAACCTAAAATTGTCCTTTAAAAAGTATGTCAATTAAAAATTTTTTAATAAAAGCAACCTACTGAGCATAGTGGCTCATGCCTATAATCCTAGCACTTTAGGACGCTCAGGCGGGAAGATTACTTGAACTCGGGAGACTAGCCTGGGCAACACAGCAAGACCCTATCTCTACAAAAAAAAAAAAAATTTAAATTGGCATGCTCCTGTAGTCCCAGCTCCTCTGAAGGCAGAGCCAGGAGGATTGTTTGAGCACAGGAGTTGGACGCTACTGCTGTGAACTATGCCACTGTATTCCAGCTTGGGTGACAGAGTAAGAAAAAAAGCAATTGTTTAACCACATTGTCAAAGACAGTCTTTGATCTTTGCTTTTGTTTTATGTTTGCTTTGGAAATTTTGTTATATTTTTCTTTAAGTTATGGACTACTTTGAGAGTCCGATGAAAGCCATGTAAGTATTCTCTCCCAGAGAGAAAATAATATGAAATAATACATACTTCCACACATTCTCACAAAACAATGCATCCAATTCAAATATTCACAAACTCCCTGGAATCCGTCCATAAAACTAATAGTAGCTAATTTTGTGGCATGCTTCTAAGGGCCAAATGCTTTGTTAAGCAAATCATGCTCTATCTCATTTCATCCCGGCAACAACCTATGAGGTAAATATTATTATCGTACCTGTTTACATATGAGGAAATTAAATTGCAGAAAGCTTTTTTTTTTTTTTAACAGCTGCTGAGTGTCAGAGCTGGGACTCCAACCTGGGCTGGTCCCAAGCAGTATTCATGTTCTTACACATTCTCTGTGAGTGAGTCCAGCTCTGGCAGA